AAGTGTTGATCAATTTCGACAGCCGCTGTGGAAAGATTGATCAGCGGCTAAATCTCGTAAAATGATATTCATGAGGAATGGATTGTTTTCAATGTTCCTTTTAGCCCAACGGGATGAATGCTCCAGTTGAGTCTATCGAGTTTGTAAAGTCAATATGATGGACGATTTAGTTTCAGAGTTGGGCAGAAAGAGTCAAGCGGAACGAAAGTCTGAGAGCATCGATAATATAGTAAAGATAACAACAAGCACTCGGCTCTGCGCCTGCTCTTTTGAGTCAACGATTATCCCTACCCCAATTTACGCATCGAAAGCTGGTCGCCACGTAAGCGCGCAATCACAAATCGATGTTAGAAGTATGCGGTTCTCAAAAATAAGAAAAAGAGCCCAAAGCCCTCACAAGGGTAGAGATTTGCAGTGTGAGATGCTGTTTTACTTACCAAGCTAACATATACCATATGGGCGAACACGTAGTGGTTTTCGACGACAATTGATGGACAAAAGCCTGGCCAGCTGAATTTTCTGAAATGTCAAAAGAGCAACAGGAAGGCAACCGACAATGGTCTGATTCCTTCACGAAAAGCTTTGAAGAAATATATGATGGTAAACAATTTTCTACCGCAAGGAAGAGCACTAAACTGCTCTTGTACGTAACGTTGTACGTTGTAGGGGAAAGTACAAGTCTCACTGGCGTCTGCCTCAGCCACTCAACAACCAGCGCAGTGAGATTTGATACATGTGGTACTGATGCCAAAAGACTCCTTCCATTTTTGTTCGGAACCGATTTACTGAGCCCAGAGATACGTAGGCTTACCTTTACTTAGTTCCGGGCCGGCTTCAGCACCCGACATTGAGAGCTTCGCTGAATAGGATTTCTGTCAATCAATCATTTAAATGCTCAGTGTTCAGCTAACATTTGGTCTAGTTGATTGATCTGAACTGAAGTGCTCACCAGTGTGGATTGGCTGAAAACTAAAGACTTCAGATTCATCACCACCACTAGCACCGCTGACAGTGTGCCCAAACGCCAGACAATTACGAGTGCGTTCTAGTTGATCATGGGCGATTCTGAGAAATCAATTCTGAAATTTATGAAGAAATTATAGCAAAATTTTACGTAGTATAAATTTTGTTTAGAACGCGACCCCTCAACGAGTTGTAAGTCGTTATTTTCGATGCAATTTTAAACGAAATGCAAGCAGTGTAGAAGTCATAATATCTTCATACCGCTATATATACTTTCACTTTAGTACTTTAATCAACACGTAACTCAGTTCTTCTCTTTTTTTTTATTATTTAGGTCTCAGTACACCTAGCATTCGCTCTGTCTCTTTGCTCATTAAGGGTTTTATCTTTTCACGAACGTTGAAGAATATGGGTCGGGCATGTCACCTTACAATCTCTAAATAGCCAGGTCGGTGACTTCCGTACGGCGTTTGTTACTAATTGCCTGAGAGTGTTGAGTGGCTGTGGGATAAACATTGAAAAGTCCGACTCTCTCTAAACCACGACATGAGTGAGGCAAATGCAAGATTTCTAACGATCGGTCCTTTCCTTTGATTGTGACCCCACTTTTGTGAGAGTCTGGACGTACTATATCTAACCATATATGATTATTTGGTGAATATTCGTATGCACCAAGAATATAATACAAAACAATTCAACAGCTTGGTTCTCATACAAATTCCACCTTTTTAACGCTTATGTAGAAGAGGTCACCGGTGTTATGTGACGCACTGTGGGAAATAAACCTCACCCACACTAGAAAATAATCTGAGATGAGGTGCCATATCATTTCTTGTGTTCAGACGCTCTCCTAATTTATTTATTCTTTGACTCTTGTGGCATATCCACAAAGCCTCAAGGTTTCACAAGCTAATGTCTTTGACTCGTGCCCCAGGATTCTTGCTGCCGCATCAAAGTTCACACTGCTGTAGAATTCTTCGAAGCGACCTTTCTAGCAGAGTAAGGGTAAAGTCGATTTCGGGTAGTCTCAAATCTGATATTCATCATTGGCATACATAAAACTTGATCATTTAGATAATTGGACAGCTTAGCTTTACAAGTTGTGAGGACTTCAGTACATTTTCCATTCGCTTCTTTGTGTCGCGACAGTCGTCCATGGGTGCGAGTCTAAGTGTGAAATATCAACAGCTGCGAGTGCAGCTGGTTAGTTCTTCCTACAAATGCGTTCGTCCAAGGTGTAGGTGGTCGTCCTCGACGACGAGTATATTGTAGTAAAGTCCATTTCACTATTCTTTTCGTCCACATGTCAGCTATTCCTCTCATCATGTAATTGGGCCAACTGTGTTTCGCTGTGAGGTTTTTGGGATTTTCATCAATACTTATATCCTTCGCGTCCCAGTCGACAACCTTGTTCTTCACTGCAGTGCTGCGGTAAGCGGTTTCCACGATATCGTATCGCCTTGTCAAATCCGTTTTCCATTGGATATGCTAAGAGGCTAATGAAGGAGCTGTGTTTTCACAGTGCAACCTTCATAGCAGTCTGATAGAGTTCTTATCTAGGACGCATCCACTCCATGTCGACGAACGCTAATAGAAATGCTTTCGTTTTAACACTAACAAACGTTTTTCATAATCGAGAAAAGTTGGGATTGAAAGCAAATGGTATTTGCGAGAGACTCCTATGACTTTCTCGCGATTTGGATGTGGTCCATGTACTACAATCCACTTCGAAATCCTGCTAGCTCAGCTGGTTGTCCTTAAATGGAAATCACTGATATATCTAAAAAGATAACTAAAAAGATCTGTGTTTGGTGAGTTCTTCACTGAACATAGAGTGTAAAACGTACGTCGTCGCTAACTCTTATTGTGGGGACTGGAGCACCCACAGAGATTAGCAAAAGACGAGAAAGGGTAACTGCCCGACTGACGAGATCGCAAGATCGAAACACGTGTATCGGGCTCTATAAGTCAGCCCTCATTGGCAGACCACTGACATGCGTGGCTCAAATAATGATTATCAGGCATAAAAAGATAATCTTAATAAAAGTTCTGTAAAATACACTTAGCAAGCAAATGCATGATAGTTACGAAGAATCCTTTGGTCACGTTTTTGTGGACTTTGTGGATGCTGACTAGGCGCAGCGCCCTTCACTGGTCTGGAATTTTTTCTTTTGAAAAGAATATCGCTATATGTGCTACGAAAAGTGCATGAAAATTATAAACTCCAGCTCCCAAAGAGACCACAGTGCTGTTGTAGGGTTCTGGAGCTGTGTCTTTTTCTAGCTTTTTAGCGCAACTCGAAAAGGCAGTATTCCAAGAAGTTTTTCTAATTTTAAGATCTAAGATGGTATGACAGAACGTGGAAGATTAGCAAATATTTTTTTCGTTGCCGCTGTCAATTCCATGTCATAGCGTGAAGTATCAGTACGTCGCTCGTCAGCACTAGCAGCAGACCAGTATAATCACGAGGATTACGACGGCACTTCTCAAAACTACCAGCACTTTCTTCTGACTGTACTAATGTCGATCATCTTGTGAAGTTCTTCGACAGCTGGCATTTGATAATATCAGTGCTGAATGTGTAGCATGAAGTTCATGTCTTAACTTTCATCTCTTTTCAAGCAACATCTTTGTGATGGTGTAATTGCAACTGATTCTTTATTAATGAGCACCTGAAGCTAATTAGGCTTAGTTTTTAACTTAGAGAATTGAGTGGTGAGCAAAAACACGGCCTCAAGCGACAATCTTGAGGCTGTGGTAAGAGACCTGGACTACGAACCGAAAATGCTCACGCAGAGAACCCTTGAGACTTTCTGGATTAGATTTAACAATTCAAAAATGAATGGAAGGGGAGAGTGCTTGAACAACACAACTGATTTGCCACTTCATCTTGAAAAGATTTTCTAGTTGGTGTAAGGTCCTTCATATCATATTATAGGTAACTGATTTGATTTTTCCATCAACCTTTCGTCGAATAAGTGTTATTTGAATGTTAATTGAATGGTCAAATATGGTTTGATATGACATATCAAAATCTTAAGTATGAGAAGTCGCAGAAACATCACTCATCGATTCTGAAGAAGATATACCATTCTCGCACGAGATTTCAAAGGAGCTAATCTAATGAGATATTTAGCACATTTGACTTTTATTATTTTCTTCCGAAAAGTTATTAATTCTTTACGGACGGTGAGGACCATTCTGACCCTCATTTGGGCTCCCGTTCGGAGAGCTAAAAAATTGGTGCGCGCCTCAATACAGATGCGGGTTAATTAAGATTTTGAAGGAACATTGCCCTAATAAATGTTGGTTATCACTGAGGAAACCTATTTTAGAAAAATCAACCCCAATGCTTTTTGAAGCCCTGCAATTTTCAAGGGGAAACAAGGTTTTGCGTAAACAAACATATTTCCAGGTGCTGAGTACTTTCTCCTATTTCGTTCACGTCTTTGCAACAAGTCTATAGTTTGAAAAAAACTGATTCCAACACTAAGCTTGTTTTGTGAAAAGATGTCTATGATGCGTTTTACCGTTGAAAGGAAGATAACGTTTTGCAATCAAAGTTCGCTTTTCTTAGTCTTCACATTGGATTTTATTGTATGATTTAGTATGATTTTGATTCTTGAAGGACTTTATAGCTAAGAAAATAGATTGTCACTCAGAGGATTTTATAAAGATAATTCCAATCAAAATAACGTCCAACTGGCTTAAAATCACGTGCTTCTGAATACGATTTCTGCTGCATGCGGTCGCATTCTGTGGAATGTGTTCAAGAATCCCTGATTTTTATCGGAACAAGCTCTCTTCCTAAATTATCTCGATGGCTCGAAAAATATAGATTTTAGTGTCAAGCTTAGCATTTAGCAAGGACATATTCTGCCTGTGCTACTAGCGAAAAAAAATTGCATTCCTTGGCAGTCAGCCCGTACATTCACCTTTACAGAGGACTTATTGGTAATAAGGAGACCTTACTAGGAATTGATAGGCAGATTGACACATAACGCGTTGTAGCGTAGAAAGAGTGGTGTGCGAAACGAGCATGGATAGTGCAACGGCTCAGCACGCGCTTCCGGCAAGAGTGAGATCTGGGTTCAAGTCCCACCTGACGCAAACGTTTTTGCACGCCACTCTACATCAGTGGGACTCCACTTTGTTGAGCGATGGACTACAACCAGCTCACAGCCATACGTGAAAAACGCTTCAAAAGTCGAACAAATTGGGCTACGAAGTTTTGCCATATCCTCCATAAACGCCGGACCTTGCGTCCACAGACTAATACTTCTTCAGCCGCCTCGACAGCTCCTTGCACGGAAGCGCTTCCACAATCAGTAGTATGCAGTACATGCTTATCAAGAGTTCGCCGAATCCCGAGGCACCGATTTTTATGCCACAAGAATAACCAAGTGTTTTTTTTTGCTGGAATATTTGTGTTGAGTTTTAGCGATTCCTATTTTCAGTAAAGATGTGTTTGAGCGTAATTCTAATCATTCAGAGATTCACGGTCGGAAACCGTCATCACTTTTGCACCAAGTAGTCATGCAGTCGGTTCTAGTTATATTGGCTACATAATGTGCTGTGCGCAATTCTTATAATTCCAGTAGGACTTTTCAGGTCACCGTTTTTTGGTGTTTTTGGAAATAGTGCTATTTTCACTTTGTGTCAATGATGTACAAAGTAGTTAGGATGTTGTCCGCCATGCTGTCTGATCCAACCGCTCGCAGATTCAATCTAATAGGCACATTCCGGCACTGAACCATAATAAAGTTACAATTCTGGGACACCGTTGGCGCCTTTTCAGCACCGCAAGAGCAACCCATTTCCCGACCATGCTGTGACATTCAACGAAAAGTCGATCTTACGTGGTAACCATCGACGATTAGAAGAAGACTGTGTCACACAACCCATGATAACGAATCAATTCTCCTCGCCGTCTATTTTTAAATTCCTAAAATTTATCCACAGCGCCTCAAGAATCCTAAGTGCTGGGGTAATGAACTGGTTGTGAAATCTTCAATCAACGAAAATCGCACTGCACGCATCGACTTCAGCGGAAGGACGCGAATGCCGTTTTTTCTTCCCCGTGTTCAAAAGCGATTTTCGTACACTTCCACGGTTTCCTCTTTATGTCCATATGTTTTACATGCATATAACTCTCATGTGGGACCAAGACTCTGGTGAAGAGTGATCTTATCTTCTCTTTTCTCCATTGGTATATAGACTTTTTCAGAAGTGATGAACTTTCGAAGTAGTTCCCAAGACTGACTATCCATATACCTCATCATGCTTCAGCAGTAAATCCTTATTTTCTTCTTGAGCCAAACACGAGGCTTCATGACGCTACTTATTCAAAAAGCTAACGTATCGGCAGTTTCGTCTTCTTCAGAACCTAGAATTAGGTTGTTCACAATCCAGTCAGCCAAATACCTCTATTACCTGCTTAGAAAAAAATCATCGAACCCAGATTCAAGGCACAGAAGGATAACAGAGCAGATTTTGACATAGAAATCACCATCATTGCGCAGTAACATAAAGCATCAACGTGACATAATCTAGAATCATTTTTGGATTAATATCAACAATCCAATTATGAACCGCAAAAGGGAATGCTTCGTGATCACTTGTGAAATGAAGGAGTATAAAAGACAATTATTTTCATGAGGGAAATGCATTACAAGTCAATGTAATCTCTGCCTGCTGGTCTCCAATTGAACAACTCAGGAGGGGAGTTGTAAAAGCGGTAAGTATAAGTTGATTTGTGCTTGATGCGATTGAACTTTGGGTTTGGTGATTCTTTTGAACGGGTAATGGAAGTGTTTGGCAGACTGGATGGTGACTAATGTTCTCAAGGTATGGAGAAGGCGAAACTACCGAAACGTCAGCTGATTGAATAAAGTGTATAATAAAACCTCGTGTTTGGCTTGAGAAGAAAATAAGTAATAACATTTTTGAAATCTGTGAGATATGAGTTATCGAATGAAGATGCAAAGTATAAACCATTTCCGATCTTTATGTGAGTACAAAACAGATCAAAACTGAAACTTACGATTCGGTGATTCAGTCTTCATCAGAGCATGGGCACACTATGTCATAATGTTTAGTTATACAGTTAGTAATTCGTATACGTAGTAAGACATCGCTGTGCTCTCCTGCTTTATGCGCACCCAACCAACCACATCATATTGTTACTGAGTAAGGGTTACTGCAACCTCATATAGGCTCAACGATGGGCTCTCTCGCTTATATAGTGCTTTTCATGCCTAGTTCACCAATCTCATGTACTGTTCCAGCTATCCTCTACGGTAATCATGCCCATCACTCTTGGACCGACTATTGTTTTGGGTCACTACATGGGCCGTGTGAGCTTTATGATATTAATAAAGCGTTTTTTTTTTTGTTTTACTATTGTTTAGAACTGCTTGATTGCCCAAGGCTGAGGCACTGCTCTGTGGCTCGAAGATCTGTTTTTAGCATCATCTGTTATATTTAACTATCTATGAGCAGAAATAGTGCCAAAGTAAAGGTTGCCGCATTGAAAGAAGAGTGGTTCCAAGTCTTTGAAGAAAGGTTTTGGTACTCCTGCGGACGAGTAGTTATAAATCAGTGACCATGTAATTGTTGAGAATGTTGCTTTCAGCAACAAACAAGTTCGGCAACCAATTACCAACAACGTTGAAAGACCTTTAACCTTTTCCAGATTCTGTACAAGTGATCTATGTTTGTGAAAGGTTTATGTAGTGACAGTATCATGCATTTCTCTGAACTAATCACTATATTTTGCACTTTACCAGAAACCAAAAGCATCTAAGACAATTCAGTACAAATTTTACGACTTCAAACTGTTCAATGCTTTCATCTTTTTACACACTTGGTTGGTAGAAATCAATTGCACAAATGTCACAACAATGGTATGAGGTTCGAAATATTTCTACGGTCTTGCGGGCGACCTATGATTCAATCCAATAACACTGGCCGTTCGAAATAGACGTCTAACTGAAACACGTGACGACGATTGAATAATGAAATGTCCGTTGAATCTGGTTTATTTTCTAAAGATAAAGAAATAAAGATTGATCCGTTGTATTTTGTTTTTTTAAAGATATTGTATTGACATAATCGCATGCAGCGCACTGGCACTAGTAATTAGGTTTTGTTAATATCCGTATCATAGATTCGGCACCGCATCTTGGATTAACCTGCTGGGAACCGTATGGCTTATGTATGGACCATAGTCAATTCACGCTTTACGTTTTCCACGGAAGAACACACGCAGCAGAAGTGTGGCAAAGCTACCTGTAAATTTAGGTTTCAAGTGGACATCATTACTATTAAATGGTGAAATATCACGAAAGTGAGCCCTTCAAAGTTCTTTTCAGTATTTTAGTATGAAGAATACCCTGTCAAATCTCCTACTTTTCAACAAGAAAAGCCACATATTCCCAAAAAAAGGCACCAACTGCATATAATCTGACAACATATTTTGAGCTTTTCATGAGGTCTGTTATGGCGCTTATATAATGCTAGAATGTCGTTCGGCCTTGCAGCCATATCAGTAGCATGGTCCTTTTTTAGACAAGAGGATATACACCCTCCATATAAGTCCATATATAAGATGACGAAAATAAACCAGGACTAAATTTTTTACCCTGATTTTTGATTATTTTATTAGTTTCTATAATATAACTTTATTATCTTTTTGCACAACATGACATATATCAGACCGCGCTTCCCAACTGGTATAAATATCACGACACAAGAGGACTAGAAGGCTTCGTGAGGCTGGCAAGAGTATGAGGTTTAATCAGAATGCTGTTGGCAAAATGAATAGAATCACCACCACAGCGCTACCCTATCGCTCAACTCACTCAAACCCACAGTGGAAAGGGCATGCTCAAAACGGATACCACATAGGCCTACCGTACGCTCTCACTTCGTCAGCTTTAAGTAAAGATTGCTATTAATTGTCAACTAATTTCCCCATCACTAAGGCCCATCACGAGCAATTATGTATCTTCTCTGTTTATGAGCTATACTATTACTTTTTGTGGTAGTCATGCCGATCACCAAGAGCGAAACACTGATTCGGCCCCGCTCCGCGCTCAACAAGCTACTCTTCTCCAAAAGTCACAAAATTGGTGCCAGAGTTTTCCATGGTAAGCTCAATGCTTGCTAACCAAGTAGCGAGCGCTCTAGCCTAGTCATATCAAAAATGGAGTCGAGAACGGGAATAACAGGCACTCACCGACTTTCATGACATAGAGGATAATTACTCAAGCCTACCTCAAAGTCTTCATTTAAGTTAATGGAAGACCTGTCTGGATGGTGAGTGCGAGAAAACTAATCGAAAATCAAAAGTGCAAGAACTCTTAGTTTAGATGTCAAAGACGGTGTGTGTGGAATTAAACAATGTATGAGCTTTTTTTTTCACAAAAGACCGACTTTCCATGAAATTTGTCATTGCTAATTGCTATATGTATGTGATATATGTAACATTTTGATTAGCCGACATGAGATTGGTATCAATAGTATTAGTAGCCGTAATATTAGTACCAGTATGATGGCCGACGTTTTTGAAAAATTTGTTTACTCTAACGACTACACGTACGTTTTATTAGGCTATTCGTATGATTCATGGAGTATCAATGCCTTTTGTAGCGTCCTCAGAGTAAATCAAAAGACGAAAAGGAGAAAAGGTGCCATGTCTCTCGTTCTAGTGGTCCCTTATCACTTCTTAGAACTTTGATGTTTATTAAAAACACTTTAAGGCTCGTGCAAATTGATGTTTTTGACTCCTGTGTCAAGGTTATGACAGGAACTTCAAGATTATTACCGCTGTGCTTGGGACCTATATGTACTTAGAGAAGTACTTTGCAGAGTTTTGAATGTACCATCTAAGTGTTCTTTTATGCTGACAAGTGGTCTACCCGTTTTGCCATCGCATTCCTCGAGGATAAAGCTCTCGGTGTTAACCAATCCCTGAGTGATGGGCCATCCATTCGTCTCCAATTTTCTAACTTAGTTTGAGGTCATTGAATGCATATCTAGCCTTCACAACGACTCATGGTAGCCTTCCACTGTATCGAGTCAGTGCTGCTTATCCTCCCAGACAAGTC